TCATCTCATGTGTCAGCAAGTCGCCAGATCCTGAATCTACTTACCTTTTATTTGGTAGCATACTCATAAAAAACTTACACTAATAATCCCAAAGGATTAGTAAGGAGGTTGCGTTTTTTAGTAATGAGTGACATTTCACGGAAAGCATCAGTCTATCTTTGAGATGCTGAGAGTACAACAAGAAGCGCGCTGTTCCCATGTTGGATTGCATACATCATATGGTCATTGCTGTTCTCTCCATCGCGTTTGTATCCCACGAATGTATTCGAATGCGAAAATTAGAGAAAGGAATTTCAAAGCGATGAGTCCCCGTTTACCACTTTATCAATAGAAAAACAGGACAGCTGTTGCAAGATGTTAACGTTCCGTTTTATCTTCTTATTCCCTGACTTAAAACAAATAAGCATTTATATAGCACATGGGGTTGATCAATCATGGGGAACGAACGTCTACACGCATACAAAGGAGTAGGTCAATTCCGCGTTAACTGGATTGACTGTATCAAAACCTTTTGTGCGCATATGCTCGGGTAATGTAGTCGATCAAGCAGCGCTTTACCAATGACCAGGAGTTCAGCATTGCGATTACGTATAAGTGGTTTGAAAGACGAATTGGGGTCAACTCTGTGTCTTGTTGTCATGAAATGTTTTTTCAGCAGGTTATCCTGGATTTCTTTTGATCACTTGACCATCGATTATTGGTTGCGTCATCGATTTCAGTTTGGAATTTGTTCGGCCATCCGTTGTGAGAACTGACGGTTGGTTCTGCCTACGTCACCGCAACTGGTGAGCTGGTATACAGTGTGTGAGACGGAACCGGTTTTCCAACTATGTGGCTTTTCGGTGAACTGAACGTTGGTCATTTGGGCAGGTGAAGTTTCGATGTGAGATGTCACAACTCGGACTATGTTAATTCCATTCCCTTTTAGGTTTCCCTTTAGGAGCAATTTCGAAAAATTACAGGGAATTGGTCCAACACGTATACAACCTAGTTTGAATGGCGACATCTCACAATAAAGCTTCATTTGCCCAGATGACCAAGTTTACCGAGACAAAGTCGAAGTCTATTGTGTGTCCTTCGCACAAAGCATGAACAGCAATCGCCG